CCCCCCGAGACCAGTCGGAGAGCAGCCACTTCTTTGCCTACCTGGTGACCACAGCTATTATTGTTGCTGCTTTATACGTTGCATATCACAACAAACGGAAGGTGAGTGGCTGTGCTCCTTACCCAGGCTCTCGACATCTCCCCTGCAGTTTAGGAGCTTCCTCTCACCAGTCACCGCTGCAGATTGGGACCTGCTCGGTTAAAGACCTTTCCCCTTGTCCTTACTGTTGTTTCTCACCGATACCTCCTGCTTGCTGCACGGTGTGGGTTTGGTGAATATTAATTTGAGCCTTGGTCTGAACAGCTTTGGGAGAAGCAGAGGGGGTGTTGTAACTATGAAAGGGGTTGGATCTCTGTGGAAACTGGGTGGCCTCAGCTCTGGTGGTTATTTTCAGCTGAGAGGGGTGAAAAGGAAAAGATCTGTGAAGATACTCTGTGTTTTCTGTAGCAGGTTGCAGAAGGGTTGTCCTTAAATACTCTTGCACGGGGCCATGCAGCTCAGGTGACGTAACTGTCTCTTGCTGTTGTGGTTTTTTTTTCATCCTGTAAAACTATTTTTGAGGTAGAACTTGTTTTCTGTGTGTTAGGCAAACCTCATTATCACCTGCTTTCAGTCTTAGCTGGGTTTAAATATCAGCATTTATTTGTGCTTTTTCAAATCAAATATGGTCACTAGGAGGAGGTAAGTGAAGCTGGTCTTTGGCCCGTTAGAAAGCGCCTGTGTTTAAAGTGAGAAAAAGCTTATTTGGTCGCTGTTGTCCCATTTACCTTGTCCCCATTTGTGTCTCCAAAGATCATTGCTTTTGCTCTGGAAGGAAAAAGATCGAAAAGTGGTCGACGGCCCAAATCTAGCGATTATCAGAGACTGGATCAAAAGGTAAGATCTACCCGAAATGGGTGCTGCCTCATGCCAGGAGCCGGGCAGGCTGGGAGAAGGGGCTGCAGTGCCTGATGTATATTGTTAATGCAATATATTGCCTTTTCACATTAGAAATGGTCACAAAGCCCCTACTTGGTTGGTATTGGAAAGCAGATTTTTTAGCAAAACCCCGCTGTTGATCTGGAAGTAGGGTTTTTGCCAGTTTTTGCACTGACTCAAATGACCTTTTCAAAGAAGTTCTTAACAGGGGAGGGGTAGGATTTGGGGAGAATTCTCTTTCTTCTTCCTCTTGAAACTTTTTTAACCTGTTGTCCCTGAAGTCAGATGTCTGTAATTATCTTAGTTATTTTCTGCAATGGGAAGAGGAGGAGACAAGGAAAGAAAATCCTTAACAGTTGAAAAAGTTAAGCTGAAACTTAGCCTTTCAGAACCCTGTCAGCATTTGGGGGACCACGATGATGGCCATTTTCAAATGCCGTTAGGTATTTTTGCATATGAAAGTCAAGGCAATGTTGTCTGGCTTATTGTCGGCTCTGCGGCGGTGCAGCGCACCCATGGGAGCGGAAGCCTAGTTCTCTCCCTTCCCGAATTGCAGCCATGCCTGGCTGGGCAAGCTGTCTGTGTGCCACGGAGACAATTTGCCTGCTTGAGTTTCCCCATTTAATCTCACCAGTATTTTGGGAATTTGTTTCCCTTGCCAGGAGTTCCCTGACTTGTCCCTGAGGCACAGTGAAGCAGGAAGGCAGCTAGAAAGAGCTCGTTTTTTATTTGAAAGCTCATCAGAGACACTCAGCCTGCTCAAACCCTGATGCTTTGTCAGACTAGAAAAGCAATACTGAGTTTTCAAATTGTTTAAACCTTTATTTTTGCCTTTCCAGATCTAGATTCCTCCTCAGATATTCAGAGGAATAATGAGAGCCAGCAATGAAAATGCAGAACGCTGGGATAACCCACCGACTCCCCTGCTGTAGCGCTCTGAGTTGTAGCTGTGCTGCTGTGTTCAGATTTCAGACAACAGGAAGAAGGGAAAATGCTTTTAGTTTTGCACCTGCACCTTGGTAACATTAAACTTCTCACTTCCTCGAAATGCGTTTCTCCTTTCCCAGCTACCTGAAGATGAACTCATTTTCCTTTGGGCGTCTGGCTTCTAACCCAGTCCCCAGCACTTGACGGAACTTTTGTGTCCAAGTGAAATGGAATTTGCCATCTACTGTACTGACGTCTCCTCTTGGACAAAAAAAAAAAATCTGCCTGCGAAATGAGCCATCTGACTCTTCCCCTTCCACAGTCATAGAGCTGCTTTTGTAACCAGCACGGTCTTGCTTGAGACACAGATGTTCTCCTCTTCTGTCCATTGTATTTGGATGCTAAAGTTCAGAGCGTGACTGATTGCACTAGTTTGGAAATTATCTGCCAAGGACTCTGATTTGATTTTTTTTTTTTTTCCCCTCTGTGATGAAGACAATGTTAGAGTTTAACAGCTAGATTGTCTCTTTCATGCACATCTTTGGAAACGCTGGAGCTATCCTTGGCCCTTGGGTTGTAGCTTAAACTTCCTCACCTGCATCTTATGCTCCACAGGGGTCTTTTCCCTCACAATCCCCAGAGTTCAGATGTTTGCACTAAAGGTGACAGCGTGGTTTGATGCTGTGAAGGAGGGCAGGTTAGGCTTAGAAAGCTTTGTGCCAAATTGCCACAGTGTAGTTGCAGCAGACTTTGCCGTGGAAGATTGCTTTCCTACCCCTTGTAAAATGTAGTTATGTGGTAACATAAAATGTACGGTAATCCTGGAGTGTTTGGGATGAATGAAACTTGTGATCCTTCAGACCTCTTCCTCAAAAATCGAGTACTGAGGCCCTGCAGTATTCAACCACTGAATGAGCCTCCACCAGCCGTAGGGCTCACTGCAACTGAGCACTTGGTGTTCACTCTTGCTGGAGAAGTGCCGCTTTCTTACCTGGCTGAGAGGCGAGGTGGCTGCTCGTCCCCTGGCTTGCACAAGCCTTGGCAGCACCGCGCCTGCCGAGCGCCTCTCGCCTTGGGAAACCGTTGTAGCCTGGGGCGCGGGCGCTGTCTTTCCTGCCTGTGAGTCACCACGGGGTGTCTTCTCCCCGAGGTCACCTCCTGAGCAGGTGACCGACATGTGAAAGGGCTTATTGTGTCGCCAGCACAGCCTCTTCCTGCTCTTCCAGGGCTCTGCCAGCCCCAGCTCTGAGAAGTTTTCTGTAGTTGAATGTACATGTAACCCGCTGCTTGTTGCTGAGCTGGTCACTTTGGTATTACCGTGGAGCACTTAAACTAGGGCCTGGGATGTACTGGTTATATTTAAGTCTGCAAAACATGTTGATTCACAAGTTATAGCTGTGAGGTTGTTTTTATTTTTGTAATTCTACTCCAAAGACATTCGTTTGAGACGGGATGTTTCTGAAGAGGGCATGAAGTGCCTGCCTGGCTTGTGCTTTTGTTTTTTCCAATATGGGCAGAAAAAAATTGGTATGAGGCGTCTAGAGCTCTTCACACGGGTACTTGTCTACGCCCAAAGCTCGTGCCACCCATACGTGAGTCACCCTCTCTGCGCTTGCCGACTGACTGCACAGGAAGAATCCCGGTCGGGTTAACTTCCCTCCAGCTGGCTGCAAAAACAACTTGTGGGGTGAGGCTGGCCTTGTTCCGGCCTCCCTGAGGTTGTGAACAACTGGTAATCTGCCCTGTGGTTGCTAAAGATAGTCACGTTTGACAAGGGCAAAGACGTTTCCTTGTCTGGACATGAAAGCTACAGCTGTATTTTTTTTTTTCCTAGTGGTTCATTCCCCATGTAAGAGGGAAGAAGGGGCTTGACCTTCTCTTAAAAGAAAAATCCTTTTTTTTTTTTTTTTTGTGTCTTTTGCTGGCTGTTAGTAAGCACAAAGAGTGGGACAAAGTCCCTCTTGGCTTTAAATAGCTTTCAAGGTTTCCGTAGTAAACTCTTCTAATGCTAAAAGTACTTGCAGAAGCTATTTTGGAGAACAGGAGTGTGAGGTGGAGGGAAGAGAAAGGAAAACAAGTCTGGGAACATAACCCTTGGGGGAAATGTGCCTTCTGAAAAGGGTGGGAACTCCTGCAACAAGACTGCACTGTTTCAGAGATCCCATAGGATAAGTCTGAGGCTCGCTGTTGTGCTGCTGATTTATGGACAGGATGCGGGGTGGGAGGTGGTGGCTTTTGTCTAATGACGACGGGGGAAAAAAACTTATTCCAACATGTGAAATACCGTGTGCTTCGGAGCTGCTCATTCCGGAATTTTTAGAGTATGTGTGCTGTTTTTCTGCTTTGTCCTATTTTTTTTAATTGAAAAAGAATTTACAGAGGTGTTTTTTTCCCCATCTGCTTGCTTTTCTATCCCGTGAGCTTTTTCAAATGCCTTTCAGTCCTCTGTCATTCCAAGCTGTGTTGGAAATCCCACCCGCCTACCAGCAGCTCGCTGTTAACAGCGACCCAGCGTGAGTGAGTTCTTTGGAGAGCGGGACTGTCGTACCTCCAACCTCTCCATCGTCAGGTTGGACCAAGCGCGAGCTCATTTGTCGGGTGATCAAGGACATATACATCACGCCTCGCTGGGAGCTGTTGGTTTCCTCAGTGCCCAGCGTGGCTCTGGCAAAACGGAAAAGCTCGGGAAGTGCAGGGTTCAGGGGCCGGCGGGCGAAATCAGGGGGACTCCCCCTAAATCTCTTCCCACCCCACAATTCCGGAGGGTGGCGTGTTTGTGGCAACAGTCGCTGTAATTGTCTGAGCTGTGTGAAACCTCTGGGAATGACTCCCAGTTTATTGATTTTTATGGTAATTTATGCAATGTGTTTCAACTGGTCAAGGTGCGCGTAACCTTTTCCCTTTGGACACAACATGTTTTTGAATGGATGGTATCTGTCGGTATGTAAGTTTTTTGCCAAATGTTACTATTTTTAGGCCAGCTGCTTTGCCGGTTTGAATCAGCAAATGGTTTGTTTTCTGCTGCAGTGAAAGGCAACTTGCTTGGAAGGATCAGAATTTTTATATTTCTTTGTACCTTTTTTTTCTGTGTGAAGTCAATAAATGGATTTAAGAAAAATAAATGAAGAGTTTTCACCTCTTTGTCTGTGTGTTCTTTTCGTAGTCTCCCTTGAAACCTGGCAACAACGGTGCAGGTTACTTCCTCTTTGAAGAAAAAAAAAAAGGGTTTTAACAAAACTGACGGTCTCTGAGCACATGCAAACTTGGTCGTCTCCTGACCAGCTAACCCGGCAGCCGGAAGGAGCCACGACAGGTTTCAGCCAGGAGCGGATTTGAAAGGTTTCCAGTCTGCTTCACAATCACCGTGTGTCAGCAACCCCGTTCCTCTTGACTAGCTTGGTCCCTCGGAGCACGCTAGTGAGCAGGGTTTAGGACCTGATCTTACGCTAGAGTTTAAACTGCTCTTAAGCTGTTTTGTGGATCTGTCCTGTTGTATTTCTTCCTTCACCCACAGGGAGGCTCTGAGCAGGATACAGCCCGGATCCCAGCACCTCTGGGCAGCAGAAAGTGGGAGTGACTGGAAAAGTAAGAGCCCAGCGATGCCACTTCTGCTCTCCCAGAGCGAGAGCAGCCTGCGTGGGATGCTGCTGCCCGACCAGCTGTGGGAAGGGGAAGAGAAGGTCAACAGCAGATGCTGAGGGCGCTTCTGGGTAGCGTCTACTGCTGCTTCCCGCAGTAAATGGCAGAAACTTTCTCCTTTCCCCCACTTCTTCCCTAAAAGGAGAAAATCCACCCTCCTGCCCTCTCCTCCGGCTTGGCTGGACACCAGCTGCCCAGCAGTGAGAGCAGAGCACGGGCTAGGAAAAAGGCCACTTGTTTTCCCATTGACAAGGTTGCTGAGAGCCTGGGGGAGCAAAAAGGGTGGAAGTGGGGGATTAAAATGAAAATTGTCCGTCTGTCTGCATACTCGGATCGAGTGCTCGTCCAAGTCTTCCCGCGAGGGGATCGGCGTGCCGCTCTGCTGCGTGCCTTCAGCGCTACTTCCCAAAGACATGAGTTAGTTGTGCTCCAAGAGCTCTTTGAAGTGCTGTAGAGGTCTCAAAACTATTTTCTTCCCCCAGTGGGGAAGGAGGGTCCCTCGGGGGAGAGGGGCAGCGGCGTGCGCGTCCCACCACGCGTACCGGGGCGCGGTGAGTGCCGCGGTGGCTGCGCCGCATGCCGACCCGTGAGTCAGAGTCCACGGGTGGAAAAAAATGCTACGTGAAACCAAAATTATCTGCCAGCTGGGTTGGGCTCTGCTTATCGGCACTGAATTGCTTGGGGCTACGCCGAGAAATACCAGAGTTTATCCGAGAGGCCCTGAGGGCGGAGGCAGCGCAGGTTTAACGCGTGGTGCACGAGAGCGGAGCGAAGCTCGGCACGCTTCGGTGGAGGGTCTTCGCCCCCTTCAGCCCTCCCTCCTTCTCGCAGACCAGGGGTGCCCCTGCGTTCCCAGCGAGTCGTTCAGGCTTTTGGATCGACGTGGCTTTTGCGCTTCTTCCCGGGAGCGGAGACAAGGGGAGCAGGGCACCTTGAGCAAAGACCTCAGGTCCGGGGGGTGTGCCAGCCCATCCCTCCCCTCCGCGGCATCCCAGCTGGGGCTTTTCCCCTCTCCCCTTGCTCGTGTGGGAAGGAAGCTCACAAAGACGCGGATATCCATCGTGAACTCTAAGAACTACCTTGAGCAAATGCTTCCAAATCCACTCCCTGACCTCCACTCCAATCCCAACTTAACCCCCCAACCCGCAAATCCCGCTAACCACACTGTGTTTTATTATTATCTTTTTAAAGCCTTGAATTCTTAAACAGCCTTGTGAACAAACGGCTCGAAGACGAGGTGATCTGTGCAGCGGTGTTTTCATTACGGGTAGGGCACCAG